TAAAATCTTATTATAAATTTCATATTATGGTTGTATTTAAAAGACCATTGACATATTTCAAGTATTCGAATATTAACCACATTTTCCGGTATGGAATAGTTACAAGATACATAAGAGTATAACTTTTCGTTTTGTTTCCTTAATTTTCGATCTACCCATCGTCTACTTGAGACTCTACAAACCATTGTAAGTAGTACATAATTAAAACCTCCTTTATCAAGTAAGCTTGGATAAATAAATAATTGCCACCTGCATACTTCTCATCGTATAGAAATACACGTGTGCCGCATATGATTTGTAATTATGTTATTTGTATATCGATGACTGGAAAATAATCGAAATGGTGAAATCTAACAATGGGCTAAATAGTGTAAAACTACTGAATATATCCAAGCTTACTTCAATCTTAGTACAGGAATAGTACCTATTATCGTCGGCCCCTTCGTGATCGTGGACTACCACGACCACGTGTGAAGCCTCCTCGCCCACGAGTTTGTTTTATTTGGGGACTCTGATCTCTCTCTATTTTTGGAACGATTTTTTCCGGTTCGGCAGGTTGCTCCTTCTCATCTCCGTCATCAATTAAGTTTCCTATTTCCGCTTCATTATCGTTATCGATATCTGCCCACGCTTTGTCGGCCGGTGTTGTTTTCTTGTCTTGAGCATTAGAATCATTTTGAGTAGCCTGTTGGCTGCTGCTGGTATCACCTTCACGATGCTCTTCCTCTTCAGATTCGGCGTCGGCCTCGAGAGGATCATACTTCTCATCCCCATCAGCCTTTTTCTGTGCATTCGCATTCTCAGCGTTATTTTCCTGCGTTTCCTTCGCTTCTCCGTTGTCTTGCTCTTCAGAAAGAGCAATCTTGCGACGCTTCCAACTGCCTTCGTACTCTTTATTACTCTCAGCAGTGTCCTCGTTGGTCTGTAGGAAAAGGCAATTATTATTAGTTATATTTTATTATACTTCAAATTTATATTGGAACTTTTTTTTGCTGAAAATTGTACCTCTGCTTTCTCAGCTGTTTTTTGTTCGGCATTCTCATTAGTAGACGTCAAAGACTTTACTTCTTGCACGAAATTTCGGTAATGAGTTATGCTGCGCAAGTGAACATTCATATCTTCTGCTAACAGCATGAATCTTCGACACTTCTCGCAATAAAATCCTTGAACGTCTTTTACCATTGACTTTCCTAAAATAATATAAATAGTAAACAATAGTTATATTATTAAAAACATGCTAAAACAATTATATAAATCCTTTCGATGAAATTTACCGATAGAAATTTGATTTTGACGGCAGTATTTGTAAGAGGGTATTTTGAATTTCTTCTCTGCCATATTCTCGGCGATGTCTGTAATATATTCTTGTTCTTCGGCTGCCTCTTCTTCCTTTTCAGTTTTAATTTCAGAACCAACGTCCTTTTCTTCATCTTCAATAGTGCGTACTTCAGCCTCTCCTTTAGCCAGTTTGTCTGCAAATAAAATGAGGAAACGCACAATTAAAGAATGCATCACATATTGTTTATACATTCAAACATTGTTACACGTTTCTTGCGTACCTTTCTTCTTATTTTTTCGCTGTTCTTCACATTGTACAGCGTTTTTCATATGTGCAGGAGTTAAACAATGTTCGTCATACTCGATACGCGATGGAAACTCTTTCACGCAGGGGAAACATCTTGGATGCAAGAAAGTCTTCAATTGTTGATGTTTGTCGCTCTTCCTGTGCGTTGATAAAGTACCGTAGAAATTTAAATCGCACATTGTACAATATTCCCTAACATTTAGATCCACTGAAACCTAATAAAAGTGATTATAATTATGATACACACAATGAAATACTGCAAAATATAATTTTCCGTATACACACTTTCTTCCCTCGACGTTTCGAATTAGTCAAGCTAAATTCACGTTGCTCTTCTGCTATTCTCAATTCATGCCTCATCAGATCAACTTTCAATTTGTACATTTCGTCTAACTTTTCCATCATCAATTGATGGGCTCGACCTCTTAAGTGGTTTTCGAAGGACTAAAAAAGTTATTAATTAAAGGATTTATAGGCAACGTTGCACAGCCGTGCATTTCCCATATTTAACAAAACTTACATATCCATCCCACATGTGTTTATTACAAATATGACAGAACATATGGTTCATTGGAACCTCTGCGTAACGACTTTCAGCATGTCTAGCTTCGGATTTCTTGCCAGTCATCTTTGGGTCTTTCTCAGTTGTCGCTACATTCGTATCTTTTGCTACATCTTCAGTAGATGTTTTATCTGCTTTCTGTTCAGCATCTTCTTGAGCTTTTTCACCTTCGTAAGCCTTCGTACCGATGCATTCCGATTGTTTCTTTTCATCTTTCCAATCGCGTTTCTTCTCTTCAGATTCTTCGATCACTTCGCTAATATAGAAACAAATGTACAACTCTTTTATAATTACAACAAATTACAACCAGCCTTGTCGTTGATTCTTTTTAAAGATGATTTAAATAATATATTTGGTACATCTGTTTTAGTCATAGCACAGGTAAATAAAATTTGTAACATGGAAACTAGAAAGAAACTGGGCATGATATGCTCATGTCTAGTGAAGATATCTGATTTGCCTGTTATTATGTACAATCTATATTGAATAATGTGTACAGTAAGAAGAATATATGGGGCTATATTCTCTATGTAATTATGAAATATTATGTGTTACGAACTTGTAGCAATTCTAACTTAAATTTGTAACATGAGTCGAGTTTCATCAACAATGGGGGAGTGAATATAACATACTTTAAATGGATATATGTATATATGTATATATATACATAAATATGTATGTATTCTCTTAAAAAGTCAGTTTAGAAAAAGGGCACAATGTTGATATATATAGAATAATATACTGTATGCACGTAAGAAGCACCGTACATACAAAGACAGGTGATAGAATGAGAACTTACTGAAGTTTGAAGAAACTATTCACAATCACCAGGAGCTTACCTTTTTACAACAGGTGCTTCTGCTTTTTCATTATCAGAGGTCTTAACGTCCTGCTGTTCCTTTTTGGCAGTCTGATTTTGTTTAGAGGCAGGAATTGGTTTAGAAGATTTATCGTTGCGATGCTGAGTTTGGTTTCCGTTCATACGCTGACTGCCAGACTGGGGTGCACGAGATTGTTGTGCAGATGGACCACGTCGCCCAGCAGGGCCATCACGGGCGCGATTGCCCATCTAGTCATGTAGGTCAAATGACCAAGCCATCATGAGAAGTATCTGATATAATTGCGATTCTTTCTCGAATCGAATTTGGTTTTTACAACCTCTGGGATTGTTGATGGGAGAAAAATATTCTACACGATTTGGAAGCAGGACGTATTTAGTGTTTCAATGAACACCAAAGGTCAGTAATTCCACATTTTCGTGGAGGGGGAAAAAGGAAAGTAGTAAATAGATAGTTGAAGATGCTCTCGATCATAGCATCATCTAACTCTGCACAGGCAATGATCATACCGATCATAAGATGTGATACTTATAAAATGCATATACATTTCCTTTGAACATAGTCCAATAAAGATCAATGAAAAATAATCAACAAGAAGAAGACATTAAAACGGTCAAAAATGCAGCTTGCAATCAATGTTTTTGAATAAACATTCTTCCATCAGTTTCAAGTGTAATGATGAATAGAAGACTTGGATGGATTCTAAATGAACTAAGTCGGAGGGAAAACGTATCTGCTTGTCATTGCTGAAATTTTACTGCACAAAACCACAGTTAACATCCACTACTAAAAATGAGAAACTGTACTCTGAAATCAATACACGTCTTGTTACCGTGTTCTATAATGAAATAACATTGCGATGGCAATTAAATACTCCTACGAAAATCATGTATGGCAAAACAGTATATATCTCATTAACTTCACAGGGTAGCCATGTAGTAACTTATCCACTGACTGAAAGCCTCATTAATGAATCGATCAATGAACATAAAGAAGGAGAATTAATACATTTTCTGCTTAAGAATTGGTGTTGTTGATGTAAAAATAAGAAGTGTAGACTAAAAAATTGCCCTTTTGCAATTTGTATTACAAATGATGTTTATATGATAAAATGATAACTGTTATATGGTTGTACCTTGTTATATGGTTGGGGCCGTTGGTTCTTCATTGGATGTCTCACAGGCCGATCATTGAAACGTCCAGATTGGAAGTTTTGCTGATTTGGGAAATTTGGCCCTGGACCGGAAAAGTTATTACCCAGGCTAAGGAGCGATGGTACCTGCTGTAAATGCATAATTATATTTATAATTTTTCATATTAACAATTATAAACAAGTTAACATGTTATTCCAATAATTATTAAAGAATTTACCTGTTGTTGAACATCTTGTTGGTTACGAAGTAAATTTGTTAAGAGATTACTGGCTATTGCTAACTGTGCTTGGGGTGATGCTAAAGACAGATTATTATTTGGTGTCGGTAAGATTCCTCGACCAGGCATCATTCCTCCTTCCCATGGATTCATTCCTCCGCTTCCACCACCTCCGCCACCTCCACCCATTCCACCACCCATATTGCCACCCATGCCTCCTCCGCCACCCATGTTTCCAACTCTTCCACCACCACCGCCGCCACCACCTCCTGCACCACCACCTCCTCGATTATTGAAGTTACGATTCCCAAAAGAATCGCGTTTTATTCCTCGATTAAACGACATGGTACCTGAAAGAATTTATTTCAAATATTACATTTAAAACGTTTTTATTATTTATAGAGTTTCTAGTTTTTGTTTAATATTTTAAAGTAAGCGGTTTCATTAAAAAATCTTACTGTACGACCTTATTTAGTTTTGACAAAAATGTTTCATTTATAAATGGAGTACGTGAATGGGCGTCTATTTCCAATACGTGAATTCAGCTAATTCTCAACAATTATACCGCCGAAATTTCTACTTATATAACAAAGAAATACATAACAACGCGCAGTGTATTTAATAGAAGTAGAAAGAAGGACCTAATACATCAGAAAGAAAATAAATAATCTTGACTTTTTCCCTTGGTAATTTACACAGCAAATGACGCCGTACAATGTGACTAACTCTCTAATTTCAACGAAACTCGATATTAAGAAATTTTTCTTTCATACTTTCACAAAAATATTAAACGATGTTTTGCAATATTTACTTAATAATTGTTATAAGTAAAAATCCATTATAAATGATTACTTACTGAAGAAATGACAAACTTGAGCACGGCACAAGAAAATGAGACAAAACGGGAATGCTCAAGGAAATGGAGTCACTAATGTAAGCGTCTATCACGAACGAAGGCAGCATTCAAAATGGTCGATGCTGTCAAAGAATTCTATTTCTCATTGGTCGATTGGATCGAGGAATTCTACCTTTGATTGGTTGATTCATATTCGTTCCCTTAAAATTACATATGTATGTACATACGTGTACATGATTAAAGACATATGTATGTACATATAAAGAAAATATTTATCCAAATTTTATTACTTTACAAGAGAAATAATTAAAAGTCGTACATAATATATAATTAATAAATTGACAATAAATATTTAATTCTTTTATGCGAGAAAATGAGTTTCATACATACACACATATGTACATACACATATATACATACATACAATACTAAAGCTATGTTCTTGGAAGGACTGTGACCAACTGTGACTGCGGACTGTGGACAAACATAACAGTATTGCACGTGCAAATCATAATCAGCGCCCAAGCGTTTGTAATTTTACAGTATAATTCGAAATATAATCACTTACTGAATGTGTTAAAAGTTTACTAATAATTCATTGAATAATGTTATTAAAGTCTTCGTATTAAAATTGAGGTAGAATTACATATTATTTAATAAAATCGCATACGTTTCTGTCCGGAACTAGTTACCGGTAATCGTTGGTTTTATAAAATATGAATGTACTAGCAAACTATTTTTTGTTTATTAAATATTTTCAGGAAACAAGTGTCGAATTTATCAATATTATATAATGACAAATCAGAGATCAATTTCCTGTGGTCTTGACTTCTGTGCTGCACCAGATCTTAATAGTTGTCTTATTACTGCAAATTCATCCAAGTACGTTGATAAAAGTAGTACTTAGTAAAAATTATAGCTACGTTATTTAATTAATCACTTAGAAACTTTATGTACGATACATTTTCAGGTATGAATTCGTATTCATTCCACTTATTCATCCTTTGTACAAAAGAGAATTCGTTTCTGGTGCTGCAAAAAAACGAAGCGGTCCTTTTACCAGACCAGACATAGTACTATGCAGTTCTGGTAATTGAATTGTTGTATGTACTTGCTTTCGTAGGAAGTTAATTATGATTTACTTTACAGACTGGAATCATTTAATTATTGGAAAAATATCACCATACATTAGAGTCGATTCAAAAAATCCTATTGTAAAGAGAAACAGTGAGGAGACTTTAAATCAAGAACTAGCGTTAGCAAGACACTTGGGACTTGTAGGAGTTACCTTTAGATTGATGGGTGGAATAGAACGTAATGCAAATCTTGCTAGAATTATCTGTGATAAAGTGTCAAGCACATGTACTTTACAGGTATAAGCATTAATTAAGTTTGCAACTTATATGCTTATAATATGTAGCATTTTTAAATTTCATTGTAGATTTGGATACAAATACCTATGGAAAATCCAGTTAAACAAGCTTATTCTTATAGAAAAGGAGAGTGTAACTCAATAGAAAACCCATGGGAATGGTGGAATGCCTTCAGAATAGTTTGCGATTATGATAGAAAGCTAGGTGTTGCATTAATTATAAGCCATGATCTTCCTGAACCAGAAGAGGTAGTTCGTTGTATTATTCCTATACACTGGATGTTCCAATTAACTTGAGTACCTCAAATCTTTCACTTAATATTGGTAATAGAAATAAACATGAGAGGAAAACATTATTTTTAATTTGCTTGCTACAACATTGTTGCTTTCTCAAATCAAAAATAAAATTTTCCTGTGATATTCTACTCTATCGCCAGTAATAAGTGAAATATTTGACGTGCTTGATTTAATTGAGATGCCGAGTCCGATATATAAAGAAATTAAATGTAATAAAGTTGACTTGATTACAAGATCGACAGGTGGCTAGGAGAACCAGTTAAATGTTTGTTTATACCTACATCATTATTTATCACAAATAAAAAGGGATATCCCGTTTTGAGTAAAGCCCACCAAACAGTAATAAAAAAATTTTCGATGTTAGAAGTACAATTTGTACTCACAGGAGCAAATCGTCATCAACATATTAGTTACTACCACAATTACTTGGAATATTTATGGAAGGTAAATTGTGCAAGTACTTAATTATTTACTTTAATTCTAATTTATCAACTTGAGCTTAAAAATTGTATATAGAATTGTCAAGTAAATGGTACAGTAGAAAGATTTGCTCGTGGATATGAAGATTACTTACAATGTCCTCTGCAACCACTTATGGATAATCTAGAATCACAAACATACGAGATCTTTGAAAAAGATCCTTTTAAATATACGCAATACCAAACAGCTATTTATGAAGCAATTCTTGGAATTGTGAATGATTCACCGGACACAACGGATGATGAGGATAGAAAAATGTAATACACAATATTATAAATACGTACAATTGTGAGAATAAATATGAAAATATTTTTTTAATTGTAGAGTAATTATGGTGGTCGGTGCTGGAAGAGGGCCACTTGTTTTCGCATCTTTAAATGCCGCGGAAATGGCAAATCAGAAGGTCAAAGTATACGCCGTAGAAAAGAATCCTAATGCAGTATTAACGTAATTAATTTTGTTATAAATCATTCACTGTTAACGTAGAAAGAAGGTAATTATAATTTGTTACATATAGTTTACAGGCACTTGAAAGAGATATGTGGGAGGACAAAGTAACAGTAGTGTCGTGTGATATGAGAGAATGGAATGCTCCTGAAAAAGCAGATATTCTAGTGTCCGAGTTACTCGGCTCTTTTGGTGACAATGAACTATCTCCTGAATGTTTAGACGGAGTCCAGAAATTTTTAAAAGGTATAGTTTATTATATAACTGAATTTGGCGTATTTATATATAAATATTATGATCATTTCAAATTATGTTAGATGATGGTATAAGCATACCGTCCTCATATACATCTTACATTGCTCCTGTACAATCCTCAAAGCTGTATAATGAAGTAAGATGTTGTAAAGACAAAGACAAACATTTCTTAGCACATTTCGAGACATCATATGTTGTCCATCTGCAAAACAAATATGACATAGCAAAACCACAGGCATTATTTACATTCAAGCACCCGAATAAAGGTTGGTGACATTCATACTCCATTCGTTTCTTATGAATTCTAAACTTCGTTTAATACTGTTATCATAATTTTAGTGGATGTTATTGATAATTCACGATATGAGATCAAGACGTTTGAAGTGCAACAAAATTCTGTACTACATGGCTTTTCCGGATATTTTGATGCAGTTTTATATAAAGAAATTAGAATGAGTATAGAGCCCAGCACACGCAGTCCTAAAATGTTCAGTTGGTTTCCCATATTTTTTCCAATTAGGGTAATGCAAAAATATGAAATGCACATTTATAGTACTATGAAATTTTACAAAAATACAAATAATATGGTACTTAATTTGATTTTGTCACAGGAACCAGTACAAGTGAAAGCAGGTGAACAAATAGTGGTTCACTTCTGGCGTCAATGTAGCTTAAAAAATGTCTGGTACGAATGGTGCATCAGTAAGCCTATTTCAGGACCTATTCATAATCCTGGAGGACGTTCTTATACCATAGGTTTATAATTTAGTATATCTATCATTATCTCGAAATTGTGGTAAAATATCTTTGTAATACATTTCCGACAAGAATACCATCAAAAGTTCCTCATAGGTGCACAAAATTGTGACATTATTTGGAATTTATGATTTTTTATGCTTTAAATAAATAATGAATTCTTTATAAAAATTACTGGAGTCATGTAAATATATTGAGGTACCCTTTGTATTAAAAGGAACACGTGTATTACATAAAATATATTGGAGAAATTACGATATATTAAAGCGACAACAAAGCTTGCTGTTGGCTAAAAATGGAAATCAGAATATAGTTTCACGATTTTCTGTTCGAATTATTCACAGTGAACCTGTAGGTCACTGATATTCTACGATGCCGATGACATAAATTACAAGTTATCTCCCAAAGTGTTTTAGCTGACCCCTTGACCTCACGTGATTTCAATAACATTAAATATTTTCTTTAACTGTCGCAGGCTTGATATTTGTTACATTAAGTTTTTCATTCCGAGTATAAAAGCTGCATCAATGTTTAAACTGGAGTTTATATTATATCCTCGATTCACAATTGATGCATATTTTTTTATAATTGATATGGTTTCAGCATTCATAAATACTACAGTAAACAAGAATATGAACATAACAGTGAAGTATGAAATTAATACATAATACAGTTTTAATAATTATAAAATTCAGATATAGCTGGATATTTAAAGTTACCATTAGGATTGATATTTTATTGTAATTACACACACGACAATATACTTGTTTCGCGTTAGCGGAGAATTATCGAGTGACGAAACGTATACTCTACGAGATAAAAGAGATTGATAAATTAAGAAACATATGCTGTTTCGTACACATCATTTAATCATTCATTCGTGTCGCGCCTTTTAGTTCGTTCCATTACGGAATGTTCCTAAACTTAGGAACTCTGGTAAGGACGACAACATATAACATAGCATAGTAGTCGATACTTCCGCAATAAGGTTAAGTTTTTGGTGCTGACCTGATTCATTTAGATTGTACCTGGTACATTATAAAAATAAAATGGCAAAACTAGTTACACAATTAACAAAATGTACCGCGCAGACATTTTCATGTGCTACGAGGATAAATTTATTCAGTCATCCTGTTTCAAGAGTATCCATGCACCTCTCGCGTTCTATTTCTACCACTCGATGTTTAAAAGTCGGTAAGTTTGGAAACAAATTTGATAAAAAAAAACTAACTAATAATAAAAGTATTTTAATAGCAAAAATAACCAGGATTGGATATTATTCTATTAAAATTTTTAATTAAAATTAACATCGTAGATTATTGTATATAATCATTAATTGTATGGTAATTACGTGATAGAATTGTTAATCCAATAAATTGAACCTAAGAACCACAAGAACCACAAGAACCTAATAATGTTAATGCAACGTATATTTATAAATTTGTTATTTACTGCATAAATTTCTGTTTTGTAAAACTTACTTTAGTAACGCTGAAAAATGTCTGTTCCTTTAAAGACACTATGATATAGCTTTTATTATATAACTTTTGTTTGATTAAAATTCAATCATAAAACTTCTCATTTCTAGGACGGCTATTTGCGAAATCACATGAATGGATCGTTGTCAATGGTAACATAGGAGTAGTTGGAATATCTCATCACGCGCAAGAAACACTGGGCGATGTTGTGTACGTTCAGCTTCCAGCAGTTGAACTTGTAGTGAATACGGGAGGTGAGGCCTATCATAAATGTATCCTTTAAAATAAGATGCTAATATCTTGGTCCTCCTATTTCACAAAAATTCATTTTTGCAGAAGAGTGTGGAGCAATAGAATCAGTGAAAGCTGTTTCTGAAATATATAGTCCAGTCAGTGGAAAGATATTAGACATAAATGAAATGATTTTACAAGTACCTGGTTTAATTAATGTATCATGTTATGAGAACGGATGGCTGTTCAAAATAGAATTAGGTAATCCAGATGAACTTAAAAATCTACTAAGTGATGAAGCTTATAATCTATATCTACTGTCTGATCAGCATTAAGCATCTTTTACTGTGAATCTATACAAAGTTATTATTTAGTAGTAGCTTAATTGAA